CTGTATACACTGAGAATGTATACGCTTTGTTGTGATATGTTGCCAGGGAGAATTTCGACCATAACGTGTTCAATTTCAGGCACATTGAGACTGTGCGCTGTGCAGGTAATCTTGTTAGCGACTAGGGTTGCGATACCGCGTCCTCATGAGGGGCCGGGCAACCACTGCTATCTGAAAAACGTGGCGGTTGGTACTACAGTCTCTTGTAATAGCATGATGGGAGGTTTGGCTTCGTGGCTACGGAGGTATTGCTGCAGGAAAGCTTTCTTGTGGGTGAAGCTTCTGCAGTTTCATTGCCAGATTCTCAACTCGTCAATTGGCCTGGCCATCTTGAAGCATTTAGGAGTCGGCCTGAGCACCCGGCGGGTGCATAAGGGCCGCGTGATGCGGTGGACTGGGCACGGCTGTACGTTGCGACAACGGCTTACCCGCGGAAACGGCAGGGGCGACGACGTGTTCAAGATATTGCTCCACTTGGCCCAAACGATTACCGTGTACCGCGAGAGTAGACTGCACGAGAGCCATGCTTTCGCCAAGAAAGCGAAGGCTTTCCTTAATCGCCGATAGCGTGCTCTTAATGTCGTCTAACTCTGCCTTTCAAGCTGGCTGGTCGTGGGCGACCGCGCGTTTTTTGGGTGCACTCTCGCCGTCGTCGTTACCGGCGCCTACTGGTTGCGGCTGCAACGGGGTGACTGCATTGTCGTCATTGTCGGTTGTGGGCGTAGCAGTGCGTGTGTTTCTGTCAGTTTTTAGTTCGACAATTGCGACTGTGAGTTTGCGTATTGTTTCTTTCATCATCGCATTTTCATGCTTTAAGATCGCTATCTCAGATGTGGTGTGTGTATCATGCTCTGGGAGTGAACCCAACCCTACCTGTGATGTAGTGTTTCCTTTTCTCCGGATGGCGTCCGCCCAAGTGAGAGGTCCCCGCTTATTCTTGTTGGCGTTGGCTGGCGATGGTGGTGCCGATGGGCTAGGTGATCGTTGACGCGAGACCCCGGTGAGACTGGGGTGAGGCCTGGAACCGGCGTGAGGCCCGGAACCAGAGTGGGAGCCGGAGCGTGACCCGGGCCGGGAACCTGAATGGGAACCGTGACGTGAACCAGAACGAGACTTGGAGTAGCCTCGCGATATAGATCTGGTTGGGGTCCCACTTCGTGCGCTGCAGGAATGGGTCCGAGGGTGGCTCCGGGACCTCGATACACGCATGGTGCGGTTCCTCGGACGGCTCCGGGATCGGTACCGGGATCGGCTGCCATCGGATCGACCATCTGTAGAAAGCTTCGAGGCCTGGTCGTCGTAAGCGCTTGCGTTGAACTCGTTCATTGCTTCGTAACTGTTGTGTCGCGTCGAGTGTGCTCGCTCCCATCGTCGTCGGCGCACCACGTATGAAATGTGGTAGCGTTCTTCACATTCTCTGTCGGCAGTGAGGTGGGCTCCTCCGCAAAGCTCGCATGTTGGTGTGCAGCGGTGTTCTTTTTCGGGGTTCGGCACGTTGCAGCCTCTGCAGATAACGTCTCCAGGGTTCGGGCACACGTTCGCTCGATGGCTGAGCCGACCGCAGGCGTAGCAAATATCTATCTGTCTACGGTATAGTGTACATTGAAGTAGCACCGATCCGTATCGCACAAAATCGGGCACACGATGTCCATCGAAGGCCACGATCACTGCAGTGGTACTTCCGATGCGCTTGGCAGCCAAAGCTAGTGGATTGCGGTCGTTGACAATCTTCGGATCAATGTCCGCCGAACCGTCTTGCACGGGAATCCCTCGAATGACGCTTTTGCATGTAGAATGTGGTGCCGCTTCGTAGGCACTAACTTCACAGGTCTTGTCAGCGATGCGGATTTCTTTAACGCGCACGTAGCGATTAGCATTTTCTCTCTTCGGCGTGCTTGCTACTAAGATATTCTGTTTAATATTGGGGGGCAGAGCGTGTCTGCTTGCTGTTCCGATGGGCTGATACCTGCCGAAGTCGAAATGGCTTCAGCGATTGTCGTTGGGCCAACCCTAGCGATGTTAAGACCCCCTCTGGGCCTAATGATAATGCGGATATTGTTCTTTGGTAGGTGAGGCATTCGGCTTGCTCGAATAATCTTGTTCTTCACATTTTCTCTTTTGCGGGGCTTGTGCTCGTTGCGTTTCAAAGCGCTATACGACGGCACACGTTTGGAGCCTTCAGTTTTTGCTCGGCGACACGAGGCGGTCTGCCAGCCTTGGCCTGGCGTGATTTCTTCAGGGTCAATGTCTTCCCCTGTCGCTTGGTACTCCATCGCTCAGCGAGACAGTGCGGCTACGGGGCGCGCGAGCAAGCACGCGCCACGTTAGAGCACAGAAGACACTCGTCAGGGCTAGCTGTTGGTGGGCAAGCGACGATGGCGGAGGTGAAATAAAATGCAAGAAACAAGCACTCACTACGCCCAAATTGTGTCGGCAGAGTCCTTTTGTCTTCTGGAAGTCGTTGCCCTAATATGACGTTGAAATCACAAAGTGGCGTCGCGAAAACGTTGAAAAAAAGCACGAGCCGTAGTGGAAGCTGGTTGGTTGGTTGGTTGTTTCCTCAACACTTTGGTGCAACCCACCTAGGGGGATAGGCCATGAATGGAACGGTGCCTTGCTTTTTAAATTAATTCACTTCTTGTAGTGGAAGCGTTCGCACACTTCGGCTTCTTCTTCCTCCAGAGGCAGATGGACATCTTTAGAATTCGACTGTGTCGCCCTTTGACGACCGTAGTCACGTATAGTTGTGGGCGCAAACTCGCCCTAATAAAATATGTTTGTTTCATAAGCCTGCGTGCCTCATCATCGCTACAATATAGCGGATGGCAATGCTTAACTCCTGGAAGCCTTGTGGCATCATACTCTTTTTTGGCTAGCTTTGCATTACTTCGCACTCCATCGCTGAGGTTTCCCCTCAGCTCCACTGTACTTCGTTCATTATGGTTTCAAGTCACTAAAGCCACGCTTATATGTTTTCTCGAACTGCTTCGAAGCATTGAAAATAATATAGTAGCGTCGTCAGGGCACCTCAAACCTATAGCTGCTAGTGTCTACGTCTTCTTTTTTTAGGTGCGAAGAAGCTTTTTGACTCACGTGTGCAGCGCCGTACGTGTACGTGCGTTCGTACGAAAGAGCTGCAACGCGTTACTCTCGCCGCAGGTACTGGAGTGGAGCCTAGTAGGTCACTTCAATGCTGGGCGTTGATGTCACGCTCCCTTCAAACGCTTTCCTCGCAGGTGTGTGCTGACGTCACTTTCTCCCTCACCCGCAGCACGCTCACTGCAGCGCCCGAGGCTGAAGGCTCCTCCAACTATAGTACTCGCAACAAACTTCTCTCTCGCTTCACCCTCTCTTTGGTCCGCACCGCTCAACCACACGTCGAGTGATAACACTCTTTTGGCTCATTTTTCTGCGAACACTACACCGAGTTTGCTTCAAACTGTTCTTCCAGCACCCGCATCGATGCCCGTTTGAGCCGGGTCAATGGTGTGCGCACCGCTGCTGCTTCGCATCCCTTCAAGGAAGGAAGATGGTCTATATTTTTTTCTTTGCGTGACAAGGGTTTTACCTGACTGGAGCGTCTGTAAATACTCTCAGTAAATGCTTATTTTATAGGCCAGTTTTTCACGAATCCTGAGAGATTTGTATTCAAAAACGAATCTTTGTGGTACTTCCGAAGACATTAACACTACTTGATTAACCTCCATGAACGAACTTGCAGAAAACGACACGCTTGATAACTAAAGATGTGCGAAAGATTATCTGCGGGCAACGCAGAGAAGGAGAATTTCCGCAGTGAAAGACGATCAGACACCTCATAAAAACCAAACAGTAACACCGGTGGCGTCAAAAGCTTTAAAGAATGAGCGAAATAAAGTAAAACAGAGTGATCAAGTCGGCTATTTGGTGATTGCAGACTACCTGCCCTGCAGTCCATGTCTCATTCCCGTCTCGTAATACGAGGCATAAGAAGTCGTGAGCAGAAAACTTATTCGTATAGCAGAACTCCAGAACTCTTATTGCACCGCGTGTGAACGTCATTAGTGAGGTCTGACATAAAATATTGTTTTATAAATATTGAAATATGGTTGTAGAAAGTACATACTCGGGAGATTTGTCAACAAACGTACGCTAGGCAAAAATTTGCTCAGAAAAATTGGCATGACAAATATTGCATTCAAAGTGAAAGTCAGTTCACTGTAAAATAAATATATGCCTAGGCAAGCGGTGATATGCAGTTAGTTTGTTTTTTTTTGTCTGTAAACTTCCAAACATTTACTGCAGTCGGTAGCAAGAACTATTGGTGGCGTTAGCAGGCATGGTAGCAGCATCTTTTCGTGTTCTGTGCTTGTACATTAGCTCAGCAAAAATTTTCAGCCATGTCAGCATTCTCGTGAAAACAACAATATAACAGTGTACCGCAGGTTAGTGATTGTGTAACTTGCAATTCTTCAAGCCAGCCGTTAATCAAAGTGCGCAAATCACTGCAGTATCAGCATCGTCTGTCATTGGTTTGAATTTGTGCAACAATATATCACTACATGCGTGACCTATCACGTATACTTTTCCGTTAATCCATAAAACATCGTAAATTGTGTTATGCTGACAGATGAACAAAAAAATTGTACGGAGTTTAGCTCATTTCAAGTGTCACGCTGTAAGCTGTATAGCAACCAGCTGGTGTAGTTTTGAGCCTCCAATCTAGGATGTCTCAGCCAAACGCAATCAACAACATCTGTTGCAACCCGCAATGATCGTCTCTTTGTAACGGTGTTCAGCTGTTGGTCCGAAGGCCATGGGATTGAATACCAGCTGCGGCAGCCGCATTTTTGTTGGAGGCGAAATTGCTTCAGGCTCGCGTACTAAAATTCAGGGGCACGTGAAAGAACAAAATCAGGTCAGAACGTCCTGAGCCGTCCACTAATGCATCCCTCTAAATAATATCGTGGTTTGCGGACGTTCAGACCACAACAATTATCAATTATTTGTTCCTGTTGCAGGTAAAAGAATGTGCCCAGGGGAAAGCTTGGCAACGGCTGAGGTGTTTCTCTACCTGACCATGCTGCTTCAGAAGTTCAGAATCTTTCCCGAAGAGGGCACCACTGTGCACATTGGTTCGTACCAGCCGCTATACGAGCACGCCGCCACCAAGATACGTTTCCTGCCTCACTCCGATTGAAACGCCCCTCGGAGAGGCGCCGATGAAGCAGTGCCCACCAAAACAACGCAGTCGCAATGGCGGTGGTCTGCTGAGATACGGGGCTGGGTTGCTCCCAGCTGTGGCGGCCGTATTTTGATGAGGACGAAATACAAGAACATTCACATACTTACACACGGCTTAATGTTAAAAAAGTAAAGAGTAGAGAAGGGGGTGTTGATGATGATGAGGACGAAGGTGGCGATGTAGTGATGCCGTGGACCTCAAAGAAACTATTTAAAATCTCTTGCTGAGTTTTGTCTCATGCAAAAAAAAATTGTTAACCGCTTTCGAGATGTCGCGCTTATGACGAGGTACTGGTCCCAATAGCACTTTTTCCCCTTGCCCTTTCCTAACGCTGAGTAGCCGGCCAGCAAATTGACTCAGGCCGGCCTCAGAACTTCTCCAACCCAGCCTACTTTTCTTTGTACCATTAAGTAGCAGAGCCTAGTGTAGTTAGATATCCCTGGGACAATAATTTGTTTTGAAATAGGTATCAGAATGACCCGGTCAAGGATTCAATTGGGGCAATCTAAAGCATGACTACCGCTATAGCTAGCAGAGGCTTAGCGAAGACCTCATTTCAGAGGCGTTCGACATTCCTGTATGTATTATCGTGTGTGTACATCTGCGCATATTACAATATGTACAAACTGCTTCATTCGTGTAAGCACCGCCCAAGTCAGTGTTAGAAGGGCTCCGTCGTATATGAAGTGGTTGCCAGAGTACAAATAGATAAAAGCATGATCCATATTAGACACGAATCAATTTGGTCTATACAAGCGAATACAGCGCGGTATGAAGAAAAAATCTTTATTCTGCGCTCTCGCTGTTCACTGCTTAGTTCGCTAAATTTCGGAAGCTCTGACACTTCCTCCAACACCATCTTTCGCATCAAACGCTTCTTTCTGTTTCGTTTGCCTTCTTGCAGATCTGTTATTAGCCCTCTCTATTTCTGTTGTCCTAATTATTCTTCCTTGATCGACTTTATTTGGCTTGGTTTGCGAGCTGCTTATGCAGTATTCAGTGTCTTGTAATATTATTCATTTATATGCAAATATCACATATCAAATCGTCACCTTTCTGTATTGCTAACTTATAAGAGAATGGGACATCGTCAAGCTGCTCAAGCTCTTATTGTGAAACTGTTCCGCACAAGGTGCGGAACAGTTTCACAACACGTACACGCTTTGAACACGTACACGCTTTGAAGTGCGTCTGCGCGTGGCTTGTGGACTGGGTGTTGCGCCGTCACTCAACAGAGACAAAGAGAGAGAGAGAGAGAGAGAGAGAGAGCCGCTTAGTGTTGCCACTTACTCTCTCATTTTGTATAGGAGAGGGCACGGCACTGAATGGACACGCCACGCGTTGACGCGCTGTAACGCGTACGCGTGGTCAGACCTTTAGGCTTAGTTCGCAGCGAGTATCAATAGAACAACGCATTGACATCTGTGGCCTTGGCGCAGCATGCAGTAACAATACGAACCAGGCAGACACGAGCTCGTGTAAATTCAGTTGTTCATTATGAACAGGTTCCAAACTTCCCAAAACAGTAAATCCACTAAAGTTGAAAGAACTGGGCTACAATTAAGCAAAAATTTATGTTTATCGGCACGTATTGTTCTCCGCAGATGTATGGATTTGTATGCAAGCGTATATTAAAAATAAAGATACGTTTTTCTTCTCCCCATGCTGTTCCTTTTGTCTCCTTTGTCAAATCTAACGACCACTCAAGACAACGGGCCACAGCCGCTGTTGATCGGCGCAGCAATATACCCACGGCTACACTATTGGAAGTCGTCATAGTGAAATTTACGAAGCATAGTCATTGAATACGATATATGTTGCCTATATGAACCTACTGTCACGTTTCTGTATACGCATTTGCGAACTTTAGGTGGTTCTTTCAACAACTTGCAGAATACGCTCTACATAAGCATACAGCAACCACATATTAAAAACACACAATATTCATTGCTATTCTAAAACATTGCCACCAAGGCTGGCATGTGAGCGGGCAAACGCAAAACAGACGAAAAAGCCACATTTCACAGCTGTGTATTCAGGTTCAGAACCTGTATATTTCAATGTAACTTAGAAGTACTTGTTGCTGGGCTAGTTGGTTTCTCATACTAAGGCAAACTACCTGAAGGTTTAGGCATCTCATAATTTAGGCGTCTAGAAGATTCACTCAATATTTCAATGGGTGTAAATGTATATCGAATGTACAGATTTTCCGTATCCTTCAAAGAGATCAATGAACACTCCACGTTGATCGCTATTCTTTCAAATGCAGAGCACTTTTGGGGGCCGGCGCTGTCGTATGCGGTCGTTGTCTCATGTATCATGGTGCAACGCTGGCAAAATCACATATAGAAAAGCCATATGTGGCATACTGCGCGCTCCGTTCCAAGAAACGTCTCCTTCCTCTTGTTCTTCGAGCACATTGACGATGGTATTACCGCAGGAAAAAGTCATGGTTTCGGTGCAAGGGCGAATCAGTGAACGAGATAGCAACAAATTGGAACGTCACGCAAAGTGTGGACCAGGTCGAAATGCGCAGCTCACTGCTCATCAAGTAAGAACACACAAAAAGAACTCGCACAGGATGAGCGCGAGCTAACAAAGTTCACACATCAACACTCGACACACAGTTCTAACTCAAAGGACTCAAGTAACGTATACGCACAAATATACACGAGATGAGCGCGAACCAACTAGGGTCACAGCTGTTACTTCGCTGTGCTGGGAAAAAGCAAAGTTTTCGCCAATAGAGAAAGTGAAAAGAGTGAAGTGACCTTTGTGCGCCCTGTAACTACAAGGCAACCGTTCTGGTGATAGCCCAAGGCGTCAGCACGATTCTGCGCCACCACGAGACATGCGTGTGCGCGATGCTCGGGGAGACTTTGCACCGCAAGACAATGTACCCGAGTGGGCCACCTCAGAAGCCTTCGTGCCATCTCGCTGGAAAAGATGAGCACACGCTGATATGCCCTTCCCAGACATTGGCATTCCGCCTGCGATAAATGGTAGATATAAATAGCTCGCCGTAGTATGGTGTGCAGGGCGTGAGCACTCGTGGTTCAGTGGCGAACGCCACGCGTGCACCTTTTCATAAACGCCTCCCTGGGCGCCGCCATAGCTCTCCTTGGGCTGTGCAAATTGGTGCGTCCCCTCGAAAATGCACTGACAACGCTGCGCCCTTAGCCTTTATACTCCCGCGCACAGCCCATCAAGGCGGTGTTTTTTTCCTTCCTGTGAAAAGGTGTGTATATTGTCACGCAGCAAAGGACGACGCGGTTGTCTATAAGGAAAACAAGTTTATTGGAGCGAACTTGTGCTCCCCTAACAACTGAAAGAATACACAGGCGGCGAAGCAGCGGTCGGCAAAACGACGTGCACGCTAGTGAGCGTCTACGATCGAATGTCGCGGCATCGGCTGTGCGGGAATTTATATCCCTCGGAGCGAGGGTTTCTCGAATAGTCGAATTGTATCGAGAACGCTGTGATAGCGTTTGTTCGAAACGCTGTGAAAACAGTGATAGCACAGGCCCGCGCAGCCAGGCCGAAAAAACAAAACACAAATAAACAAACCCAATGCATGGTTCGCGGCATTACCCCCTCTCTAAGAGTGCATTGACCCGATGCTAACATAAGGGACAGTCCAAACAAATTAAAATAAAAGTTCGTCATCGTCCGTAGAAAGGTTTTAAGCGAACCACATGGACGACTTCGGGCCGCGTGTGTCGTCGTGATGTACGGGAGTCACCATCGGGGATCACAACGTACGTTAGTTCGCCAACACGTCGTAGAATCCGGTAGGGTCCGAAATAGCGTCGTAGAAGTTTCTCACTGAGTCCACGTCGTCGAATGGGAGTCCAAACCCACACACGATCTCCAATATGGTACTCGGCGTCTCGGCGTCGGAGATTGCAGCGTCCAGCATCCACCAGTTGCTGGTCCGTTATACGAACTCGAGCGAGCTGGCGGGCCTCGTCCACACGTTGGAGGTATCCTTGGAAGTCGGCGTTGAGGTCGTCGTCTTCTACGTGCGGAAGCATGGCGTCGAGCATCGTAGTCGGCCGTCTTCCGTTGACGAGCTCGAACGGTGTCATCTGCGTGGTTTCTTGGATAGCCATGTTGTACGCAAACGTGACGTACGGGAGGACTTCGTCCCGCGTCTTATGTTCAACGTCGACGTACATAGACAGCATATCCGCGATTGTCTTATTCAGCCGTTCCGTTAGTCCGTTCGTTTGGGGGTGGTACGCCGTCGTTCTTCGGTGATCCGTGTTGCTGTAGCGTAAGATTCCTTGCATGAGCTCCGCAGTGAAGGTCGTTCCGCGGTCCGTGATTAGGACCTCAGGGGCTCCATGTCGCAGCACAACTTGGTTAATAAAGAACTTTTCAACTTCATGTGCAGTTCCCCTCGGAAGAGCGGTGGTCTCTGCGTAGCGCGTCATGTAGTCTGTCGCTACGACAATCCATTTGTTCGCGGATCGGGATGTAGGGAACGGGCCCAGAAGGTCCATTCCGATCTGTTGGAAGGGCCTCGTTGGGACGGCGATCGGCTGCAGAAGTCCGGCGGGTCTCGTCGGTGGTGTTTTTCGTCGCTGGCAGTCACGGCAGCTCCGGACGTAGTGGGTGACATGGGATGTAAGGCGGGGCCAGAAGAATTTCGCCTTGATTTTTGTAATCGTGCGAGCTGTTCCGAGATGTCCGGAAGACGGGTCGTCGTGGCACGCTTCCAAAATTTCGTCACGAAGGTTTGCGAGGATGACAAGTAGATAATTCGTTCTCGTTCCGGGGTTGAAATTCTTCTTCACTAGGATGGAGTTTTTGAGGCTGAACGCTGGTAAGTTGCGCTTGAACGCCCTAGGCATGGCGACGTTGCGTCCTTCGAGGTAGTCGATCATGGCGCGGAGGTCAGGGTCGGCACGCTGCTGGGCGGCTAGGTCGCTCTCTGTCACGACTCTGAAGAACGCGCTGTCTTCATCGGAGTCTTGTGGTGGTGGGTCGACGGGGGCGGAGGACAGGCAGTCAGCGTCGGAGTGTTTCCTGCCGGATTTGTAGAATATTTTAACGTCGAACTCTTGCAGGCGCAAGCTCCACCGCCCAAGACGGCCAGAGGGGTCCTTCAAATTGGCGAGCCAACACAGCGCATGATGATCTGTCACAACCTTAAACGGTCTACCATAAACGTATGGGCGAAATTTCGAAATGGC